TCCTATGGAGAGGTTTGTAGATTCCAACCACTGACCTTTTGGTTAGCAGCGGAGGGCTTTAAACAGTGCACCACTAGGGCTTCTACATGGCTACTTACTTAGCATGGCTCGTATCTATAATGAGTACTTAAGAAGTTTTATATCCCGTGCTGTCAACTATTTTAACTCAGAGTTTCTGTGGTTCTTAGAGTTCTCTACCCAGGAGATAGATACAGAACTGACTAGTGAGCTCTATTTCCCAAATCGTAATAATAAAACCATGATGTGACCTTAGAGATGCCGGTGAGAAATATCCCATAAGGGTAAACTAAAACTTAATATTTTTAGTGATTAAAAAAGAGTTATGCTTATACAAATACCAAGATTACTAGCACAATTATGAACTATTAAATTATTAAAAGTGGCATAAATAATGGAGTCATGGTGTGGTACTGTAGGATAAGCATTGGACTGCTAACTGCCAGGCTGGTTGTTCAAACCCATTGGCCACTCCTTAGAAACTCTATACAGGGTTGCTATGAGATGGAACTGACTCTACAGCGCTCAACAACTTTAAAATATAGAATTATAAGTTAATTACTATAAGTTAAGCACTTAGAAAAAACAACTAAATGTTTTTACAGATAATTTGAGCCATGTTAATTTAATGAAAAATTAGGCTCTGATTTGTTTCAAAATTTATAAGGAAAAAGAAAGATACCTAATGAAAATAAAAATGTAAAAATCAGGAAACCAGGACATTTAAAGGGTTTTAAGATATTTGGACTAGGACAAATAGCAGATAAAGATTATTTTTCACTTTGTAATAACTACTAGTTATGGGGTATTTATTCTATTTTTTATTTTTATGTTGGACTAGAAAAGAAGAATTAAGGTTAAACAAGTTGAAAATGACAATGTCAAGATTAACATACATGCAACCAACTGATCCATGCATTTTGTCTCATATAAAGATTATTTTGTTGTTGTTTCATATAATTGATTAAAATTCCCTATCTAAAGATTCTTGAGAGTAGGGTAGAAATAGATAAATGTTCTTGAATTGATTGTCTCATTTTATCTGGCTACGTGACACACTGACATTTTTTCGAAATGGCAATTTCTTCAGGCTATTGAATGTTGAAATATGAGTTTGAAGTGACAAGAATGAAAGAAATTGCACCTAGCCACCCAGGAACTATAGTTTGCCTTGATAGAAGGAAATTCTTCATGAAAATTGTTTCATTGATTTACAGTGAATATATATGAATATAGAAAATTTGATGTGCTAATTTCCATTATATTGAGTTGATAATTTTGGAATAAGATTGGTAGTTTTGAAGATCTGTTATTCTTTTGTAAGTGAAAGATATTATAGAACCTAGGCACTAGGGCTTGAAGAGTTGAATAATATAAATATGGAAATTGAGCTTACAAATAGTAATTTATGATTTTCAGATTTCCCAAAAGCTTTCAGAAATTAAATACCTATCTCATAATTTCCAGACTCATGCACATATTTACCACCATACTTGTGGTAAACATTCTGTTACAGCAGCTCCTTTTAAAGCTTTCAGTTTCAGTCTAGAGTGGTTGTTTTCTATACTTTAGCATAACTCTTATCCCCCAATTTACCTGTTTTTCTGTAGTGCTGGATTTCGTGTCTTCTGTATCCCTTGTATAGTAGTTACCAGTTGGGCTGCTAATCTCAAGGTCAGCAGGTTGAAACTACCAGCTCTTCTGCAGGAGAAAGATGAGACTTTCTACTCCTGTAAAGACTTACAGGGTCACTATGAGTTGGAACTGACTCCACGGCACACCACCACCACAACTATAGTCCTTGTGTGGAGCTGTAGAATAATCATTGGACTGCTAACCATGAGGTGGGTTGTTCAAACGCTCCAGTTGCTTCTTGAAAATCCTATACATGGTCACTATGAGTTGAACTGATTCGACGGCACTGTACAACAATATGTGCCTTGTATTCCAATTTCTTGCCTTTATCTGTCTTTTTGTTGAAGCTACCCTTTGGTAGCTTTCTAAAGGTTATTGTTAAGTGCCGTCTAGTCAGTACCGACTCATAGTGACCCTATATAAGGTTTCCTAGGAGCAGCTGGTGGGTTTCAACTGCCCACCATGTGGTTAGCAGTCCAGTGCTTATCCTACGGTACCACACCAGAACTCTTCCTAAAAGTTGTGTTGTTTTTGTTAAGTGCCATCGAGTTGGTTCCGACCCGTAGCGACCCTGTATAGGGTTTCCAAGGAGCAGCTGGTGAGCTTGAACCACTGACCTTGCAGTTCAAATGGCTTTGCAGTCTCATACATTAACTGGCAGCACCACACCAGGACTTCCTAAAAGTCAAGTCTTAAACATAGAGTCCTGGAGTGGTGCTGAAGAATAAGCACTGGGCTGCTAACCACAAGGTAGACAGTTCAAACCCAGCAGCCTCTCCTCGGAAATCCTATCTATACAGGGTTGCTAGGAGTCACTTCTGACAGGATGGCACACAACAACAACAAGAATAGCATAGAAGAGTTAAAGTTTGAGTCCTGGGAGGACTGAAAATGCCATTAAATTCTACCCTCACACTTGAATTGCTAGAATTGTCTGTTGTAAAATAATTCATGCCTCTGCATTTTAAAGGCATGAATTATTTTTAACTACCTCTTTTTAAAAGGTCAATGCCGTTTTGTATTTGATCCTTTTGTCTGTTTACCTGTTTTGACTCTTTGGAAACTCTCATTATCCTGTATTCTGGAATTTCACAGTTATTCTTTGTTTTGACCTGTTCATTGTACAATTCACTTATTGACCTTTTGAATCTGGAGACTCATGTCTGAAGTTGTAGGAAATTTTCCAGTAAATTTTAAAAAGAAATTTTTGTTCCTTTCTTAGCTCTTTTGTTTTAGAGGTACTGTAGGATAAGAACTGGACTGTGAACCACAAGGTTGGCAGTTCAAATTCACCAGCTGCTCTTTGGAAACCCTATACAAGGTTGCTGTGGGTCAGAATTGATAGCACTTAACAACAACATTAGCTACGTGATGGTTCACATTGATGCTCTGATATTTTTTCTCATTATCCGTTTCTTTGTCTTTTTATTCTAGTATTTAGGAGATTTTCAACAGTTACCTTCTAAAATTGGTACTGATTTTAATTTTTTTCATTCCTTCCTTTCTTTTCCACTTCTTCCTTTCTTTCTCTCTCTCTCTCTCATTCTGTCTCTCTCACTCTCTCTCCTCTTTCTTTCTTTTAAATAACATCACAGTCTTTGTTTTAGCTCTTAAAGATATTAGTGAGAACTTTTAGTTATCTTTAGTTCTTTCTACTCTTCATATTTTTATATTTATGAATTCCTTTTATGTTTGACTTGCTTGCTGTCTGTCTGTTCTCAAATACCTACCTGGTGGTTGAGATGTTCATTTATATTTAAGAGGGAGGAAATACAGCTGAACTGGAAACGTTTATGCAGTGATAAGTTTTACTCCAAGAAAAAGGAACCCCTGAAGTATTTCTTCCTTCAAGTGATTCCCAAGACTGTGTTTTAGGACCCATTGGGGGCATGTCTACTGGCTGCTGCCCAGTTTCCTTTTTTTAGCGTTTAAGACTTTGCTTTTTTTCCCTCTCTCTCTCTCTTGTTGTCAGTTATCAGTTTATGTACCATCTTTAAAAATCATTCACATCTGTTGCCCTCTATTTTTTCTCCATTTTTTCCTTTTCCTCATTCATTTATACTGTTTTTATTACCTTACTGTCATTTTGGATTTTCTAGAAAGTGTAGAGGTGATGCGTGTATTCAATCTGCTATATTTAACCAGAAGATGAGTAGATATTTCGTAATATCATAGACATTTTCCTTATCATTACTTATTGTTTATAATAGTCTACTGAGTACTATATTATAGTTTGCCTAACTTGTTCTTCTCTTAGCATGAATTTTGGTTGTTCCTGATTCAAAAGACATCATTTATAGTTACCAATAAATTAGACATTATATAAACAAATGCAAATAGAATGCTGTTATTCATTTGGTTAAACATTTAAAATCCATTTTAAGTACTCTTGTATAATGAAATTTGTGTAATGGAAGTACCATATAGCTTTCTGTTAGAAAGTGTAATGTTTTAGTAATGCTTTGAAGAGAAAATTTTAGTTTATTAGTAATAATGCTGAACAGTTTTTTAATATTTACTATTCTGTATGAAAAGTGTGTATATAATTTTTTACTATATATGTGTATATAAATTTTTATTACAGAATATTGGCCATTTCAGCAGTCATCACATGTTCAGTTCTGTGACATTATATATGTTCATCTTGTGTTCATTAACAACTTCCCAATTTTCCACGCCCTTAACAGAAGTCAGTCACCTTCCCTAAATATTGTGTTCCTTTCTCCTCCTTCTACCCTCCACTAATGAACTTGATTAATACTCATACCTAATTTAGATATTTCAGATAAGTGGGATCATATAATAAATATTAAAATAATTTAGACAGATTTCAAATCTAATTTAAAAATAATATGTCTTATTTCTTAAAATTATTTGTGGATCTAGTAGAAAGGATGTTTCCTTGGGGTTGTGACCTGCTTCCAATATAATGGACATGCAGGGAAGGCTCACTGTCTCTTCTCCTGGGGACCTGGGACTCTACAATTATAAACTATTTCCTTGATATAAACCTTTCTGTATATATATACATATATATAAGACATAGATATACATTGTATCTTCTTATAATAGTTTATTTTTAATCTATGAATACTCTTAGTGATTATAATGAAGTGGAATGACATGATTTTAGGTACTGTTGACAGACTAGAAAAGTATAATGAATAACTTTTATAACATAACAATTGGATTCTGATACATTTTCTGAAAATTTTTTATATGAATATAGTTCTTTTTGCTTTCCAGCATCAAATTAGTTGAAATAATACTAATTTGCTGTTTATTTTATCTGATTGTTTCTTGATTCTAAATTATATATGTTTTTTATAAATGATTTTTTTTTACAGTTACCTGCCATGGTTTGAAGTGTATTACAAGCTTTTAAATGCTCTGGCAGATTACTTGGCTAAGGAACTGGTAAGCTATGTGTTTTGTTTGTTTGTTTGTTTTTTCACTTAAAAAAAAGAAAATGGAAATTTATTTTGGAATTAACTGACTTTTTGGAATTGATAATGTGGTGACTTTGATGTTTTTCACAAGGCTACTTTACTAAGAAAGGAGTCCTGGTGTCACAACAGTTAAACACCCAACTGCTAACCAAAAGGTGTGAGTTCAAATCCACCAGCTGCTCCCTGGGAGAAAATTGTGGCAGTGTGCTTCTATAAAACTCGACAGCCTTGAAACCCTTATTGGGTCGTGCTACTCTGACCTACAGGGTCGTTATGAGCTGGAATTGAGTCAACGGCAATGTGACTGGTTTTAATTTACTAATATGGTAGTTCTGCTATTTGATTCAATTTAATTCCAAGAAAATAATTTTCTCCCTCTCCTGGTATGGTGCTGTGGCATAAAGCACTGGACTACAAAGTCAGTTTGAACCCTAAGGTTGGCTGTTCAGACTCACCAGCCACTCATAGTAAACCCTATATAGGATCACTATGAATCAGAACTGACTCCATGGCACTTAATAGCAACAATATCTATTTTTGTTGTTGTTTTTGTTAGGCATCATCAAGTCGGTACCGACCCATAGCGACCTTGTGCAAAGTAGAACAAAACACTGCCCAATCCTGGGTCAACCTCAATACCGTTGCCACATTTGAGTCTATCGATGCTGCCACCTGGCCAATCCATCTAATTGGAGGTCTTCCTCTTCTTCTCTGACCCTCCACCTTACCAAACATGATATCCTTCTCCAAAGTATGAGAGATGAAGTTTGGACATCTTAGCCTCTAAGGAGCACTCTGGCTGCACTTCTTCCAAAACGGATCTATTATTGGTTCTTTTGGCAGGCAGCCCATGGCACTTTCAGTATTCTCCTCCAATACCATAACTCAAAAGCATCACTTCTTCTACGGTCTTCCTTATTCACTGTCCAGCTTTTGCATGCATATGATATCTATTTTTAGAATTAAGTAAAAGTAATGGGTAAGGAGGTAATGACATGGAAAATCCATAACTGAATTTTAAAAGTTAACTCTGTATATTTTTGTATACAGAGATTAGTTTAATTCTTACCATGTTCTGGTAGTGTAGTGGTTATGAGTCAGGCTGCTAACGTCAAGTTAAGCAGTTCGAAACTACTAGCTGTTCTGCCGGGGAGAGGTGAACTTTTTTGCTTCTGTAAAGATTTACAGCCTTGAAAACCTTTTACAGGATTGCTGTGAGTAGGACCTGAGTCCATGGCACACCACCACTACCTTACTCAGGTTAATTGTGTCTTAAGCGTCTCTAGTAAAGGGGAGAGGATAATCACTTTAGAATTTAAAATCTTCAACAATGTTCTCTAATTACCTTAATATGTTCATTGATGACAACAATATAATTTAATTTGGGCTGTGTGGTTTGATCACAGTACTTACTAAATAACCATAGGTAAATTTATAATTGTAATTTTTTTTCTTTTAATTTTCAATCCAATGCTACAGATTACTTAGACTGGATAATTAGAGAATTTATCATTTAGATTATGCATATCTGAGCAACACAGGACAAGCCTATTTTTGCTATGTAGTATAATTTTTTTTTAACTTGGTAGCATAGTGGTTAAAGTGCTTGACTGCTATGTGAAAGGCAGTTTGCTCCTGTAAAGATTTGCAGCCTTGGAAACCCTATGGGGCAGTTCTGCTCTTTCTGTAAGGTCACTACAAGTTGGAATCGAGTCAGTGGCAGTGGGTTTTTTGTTTTATGAACAGTTTTACTGTCAATAAAAACCCATAGTAAGTCGAGGAATTTTAAAAGCTAGGCTTACTTAAAATTTACGTAGATGGAAACTATCATCTTCTGTTTTCTATGGTACATTTGATTAAATATTTAAAAGATAAATTGTTTATTTTATATTCTCCTCCCCCCTTTTTAAGGTCATTCTAAAGGAAATTTAAAATAGACAAGTTTGAGTGAATGCTTTTTCAAGCATTTAGAGATCTATTTTAGTAAGTTTTGATATCAATAGAGGCACAAATCATAAGAGAACCCAAAATACCAAAGCCACTGTGATTGAATCTTCTCCGACTCTTAGCAACCCTGTATAGGTTTCTGAGACAGTATCATCTTTTTCCTGTGAAATGACTTGTGGGTTTGAACTGCCAACCTTGTGGTTAGCCGCCCAAGTGCCAAACCCACAGTGCTGCCAAGGCTCCCTAATGGTAAGAGAAATTGTGAGAATCCACGTGCGGCATAGCTAACTATATTAAAATTAATTATTATCTTCCCTGAACCATTACTTTTTCCTTTGGTTTATTCTTCCCAAAATGAAAGTTTAAAAGGAGAATAAAACTATTTATAAAACAATCTTTCATATATTTATTATTGTATTTGTATCTATGATGCAGGAAAAATGAGTTTTCACATCAAGGATACACTATGGTACAAATCCTATACATTTATTATGTGTTTTATTTAATCACATGTATGGTGGATCAAATACTGACCCAATAGTTACTTAGGAAAAAATATTTAGCATGAGCTGTACATTATAAGCATATCTTAGTACAATAATCTTTCCTAAATTATTTCTGTCATGTCAGAATGAAAATTGAAAATGGGATAATACTGTGGCCTGAGAAAAAGTTGTGTGGTTATCTTAATTGAATCTTGGGCATTTTGGATTTAATGATTTCAGTGTATTCCTTCTTTAGCCTCTGTGTGTTTTATAATAATTAAGAATCAGCACTGGACTATGAACCACAAGGTTGGCAGTTCAAACCCACCACTTGCTCGTCAGAAAATCTGTACAGGGTTGTATGAGTTGGAACCTACTCAATGGCAATTAACAAGAGCATTTTTTAGTAACTTAAGTTTTTAAATGACAAATTTTTGTCAAGTATATGTATAATAAATAGAAACATCCTTTCACCATAAAACTATGTGAATATGTTTTCAGTATTTATTATATTTAAATATTTCAATTATAGTTGTTTGAAATGTTTCTATGAAAAGCAGTTTTAATATGAGATGACAGAATAGTTGATTTTATCAGGTAGTTTCCATTGTATTTGCTTGGTTTAGATTTCATTTCTGAAATGTACTTATTTTTCCTCTAGGAAAGTGATTTGAATGAAACCCTTAAGTCACTCTATAATCATCCAGTACCAAAGGCAAATACTCCTGTCAATTTAAATGTGGTAAGTAGTCAGTTAGTAATCACTCTTCTTTCTTTTTTGTGTGGAGAGACCAATAGTGGCGCCTTACATGGTCGATCATGAGCTTTTAAGATCCCAGAGGCTGCTCACCAAAGTAGGATATATAGAACATTGTCTTGGTAATCTATGTTATGCCAGTTGACCACAGTGTACCTTAAGACTATGGTCCTGAGCCCCCATGTCCATTAACTCATTGCCTTAATGTTTGATAATATCAAAAAAGTTGTCATCGTTTTGTACCTGTATGCTCCATCACATTCATAAATGTGTTTCCAAGAAAGGTAAATACCTATGTACAAATATCCTTTTTCAAACTCTTACATATTTGTGTGTATACTGCCACGCTTCCTCTCATATCCATTCAACCTGTGTGTCTGTCCATGTATCTACTTGCAAAACACTGTTGTTCCAAGACTGTGTATATACTACCATTTATCTTTATACCTTTTAGCCCTTGCATACCTCCCTGTGTTTTCACCTGTCTTCATCAATCTTCTGCCAACCTATTTTTTCTGTATCTTATCCTCCCCCTTCTTGTATATTGTTCTTCCCATCACCTGAGTTAACATGTCTCCCTTTATCTAGTGACATACTCTGCCTTCCCTCCCACCCTTGGGAACTATCAAAGAATGTTTATTTTAATATGAAAACCTTGAATTTTTACAATGTTAAATATTTCATCTTTTAAGTGGCTATTGTAAATTGTATTGTTTTCCTAATTTTCTTTTCAGATCTGTCTGTATTGGTATATAGGAATCCAGCTGATTGTTATATATTGATCTTGTATCCTGCCCTTTGCTGAATCTTTCAATGAATTCCAGTAATTTTCTTGCTGAGTCTTTGGGAGGTTCTATGTATAAGTTGTTGTTAGATGCCATTGAGTTGGTACCAACTCATAGCAACCCTATGAGTCGGTACCAGCACAACAAAACAAAATGCTGCCCAGTCCTAGGCCAGCCTCACAATTGTTACCATGCTTGAGCCTATTGATGCTGCCATTTTGCCAATCCATCTCGCTGGGATCTTCCTCTTTTTCTCTGATCCTCCACCTTACCAAACATGGTATCCTTCCCCAGTGACTGGTCCCTCCTGACAATATGTCTGAAGTATGAGAGACGAAGTCTGGCCATCCTGGCCTCCAAGGAGCATTCTGGCTGCACTTCTTCCAACACAGGTCTGTTTATTCTTTTTGTAGCCAATGGTACTTTCAGTATTCTCTTCTAACACCGTAACTCAAAAGCATCAATTTGTCTATGGTCATCCTTATTCACTGTCCAGCTTTTGCATGCATATGAGGTTATTGAAAATACCATGGCTTGGGTCAGGCACATCTCAATCCTTAAGCTGACATCTTTGCTCTTCAACACTTTCAAAAGGTCTGGTGCAGCACATTTGCCTAATGTGATACATCATGTGATTTCTTGACTGCTGCTTCCATGAGTATTGATAGTTGATCCAAGAAGAATGAAGTCCTTGACAACTTCAATCTTGTCTCTGTTGATAAGAATGTTGTTTATTGGTCCAGTGGTGAGGATTTTTGTTTTCTTTACATTGAGATACAATCCATACTGAAGGCTGTGCTCTTTGATCTTCATCAGTAAATATTTTAAGCCCTCTTCACATTCAGCAAGCAAGGTTGTATCTCCTGCATATGGCAGGTTGTTAATGAGTCTTCCTCCAATCCTGATGCCATGTTTTTCTTCATATAACCCAGCTTCTCGTATTATTTGCTCAGCATACAGGTTGAATAAGTATGGTGAAAGAATACAACCCTGTTGCACACCTTTCTTAATTTAAAACCATTCAGAGTTTCCACGTTCTGTTGGAACAACTGCCTCTTGATCCATGTACAGATTCCTCATGAGCACATTTAGAAGCCTTTAATTATCCTTCTTGCCTTATAGCTATGGCTAAGATTTCCAACACAATATTGAATATTGATTGTTGTTAAGTTTTGTTGAGTAGGTTCCGACTAATAGCAATCCTCTATAGGATTTTTGAGGAACAGCTAGTGAGTTTGAACTGCTGATCTTGTGATTCTAATCGACCTTGTGCTCCAGTGCTTACCCTACAATGCTACACCAGGACTCCACAATATTGAATAGGAGTGGTGATTAAGGGCCTCTCTGTCTGATTCCTGTTCACAAAGGGAATACTTTTGGATTTTCATTGCAAGTAATATAATTTTGTTGGAATTGTATATATGTTCTTTACTATGTGAAGGAATTTCCCTTCATTTCCTACTTTGCTGATTTTTAAAAAAAATCAGGAATGAATGTTGGATTTTTCAAACACCTTTTCCGCATTGATTCATATGGTTATTTTCCTTATATGGGGGATTATATTGATTTTCTAATATTGAACCATCCTTGTATTCCTGGAATGAATTACACTTGTTCATGATGTATTATTGTTGTTGTTTTTTGATATGTTGTTGAATTCTGTTGACTAGGTTTTTGATAAGAATTTTAACATCTGTTTTCATGAGGGACATTGGTCTATAATTTTCTTTTTCAGTAATGTCCTTGACTGGTTTCGGTATGATCATTATGCTCACTTCATAAAATACAGTACAGAATATTCCATTGTTTTTTATATTTTGGGATAGTTTGAGTAAAATTGGTGTCAACTGTTCTCTGAATGTTTGGTAGAATTCACCAGTAAAGCCATCTGGGCCTGAACTTTTTTTTCAGTTGGGAGTTTTTAAATTACCTCATGAAGTCTTCTTTTATTATAGATTTGTTCAAGTTTTCTGCTTCACTATGTGTTACTTTAAATAGGTCATGGTTTTCTAAAGCTTTATCCATTTCTTCTAGATTTTAAAATTCATTGGATACAACTCTTAATGTTGTTGTTGTTAAGTGCCGAGTCAGTTCCAACCCATAGTGACCCTGTATAGTGGTTCTGAGGAGCAGCTGGTGAGCTTGAACTGCTGACCTTGTGATTCAAACCAACTTTGTAGTCCAGCACATTAACCCATAGCACCATACAACTCTTCACAGTATTCTGTTATTATCCTTTTTATTTCCCTTGGTTCTGTTGTGATATTACCCATGTTATGCATGTTGTTTGCATCTTCTTTTCTTTTGTTAGATTAATCCTTTTAAAGAACCAGCTTATTGTTTAGTTGATTCTTTCTATTGCTTTTCAGTTTTCTAATTCGTTTATTTCTGCTCTGCTCTTATTCTTTTCTTCTGCTGATGATAGGCCTACTTGGTTGGTTTTTTTCCAGTTATAGGAGATGTTGTGTTAATGTATTGATTTTGATTCTTTTTCATTTTTTGGATGTGTGCATTTAAATTGCCTTCTAAGCACTGATTTGCTGTGCCCCAAAGGTTTTAGCTTGTTGTGTTTTTATTCTCATTTGCTTCAAGGAAATTTTTTATTCAAATTTTTATTTGTTCTTTTGCTCAGTAGCTTTTAAGCAGGGTGTTATTCAATTTCCATGTGTTTGATTTTGTTTTCTTGATCTTCCTATTGTTCATTTTATATTTTATAGCATTGTGGTCTGAAAAGATACTTTGAATTATTTTGAAGATTTTAAAATATCTTGAGGTTTGCTTTATTGCCTAACATATTCTGGAGAATGTTTCCTGTACATTGGAAAAGAATGCGTATTGTGCTACTGTTGAGTGGAGGTGCTCTGTGTAAATCGATGAGGTCAAATTGTTTGTGTTTTTTGTTTTCTGTGTCTTTGTTGAGTTTCTTTCTAGTTGTTCTGTCCTTCATCAAAAGAGGTATATTAAAATCCCTTACTAAGATATGATGCTGTAGGATCAGTCCTAGACTGCAAACCACAAGGCCCTTGGTTCAAACCCACCTGCTTCTCCTTGAAAACTCTATACCAGATCTTTATGAGTCAGAACTGAAACTCAATAGCTCTTAACAACAACACAATAACAGCTGTTATTATAAAGTTGTCTTTTTCTTTCTTCAGTTCTATTAGGGCTTGATTTATGTATTTTGAGGCTCTTTCTTTGGGAGCATATTTATTTATTATGATTATATAGTCTTTTTCAATTGGCCTTTTAATCATGAGGTAGTGTCCTTCTTTGTCTCTTATACTGTTTTTTGACTTAAAATCTATTTTGTCAGAAATTAATGTAGCCACTCCTGCTCATTTTTCATTGCCATTAGCTTTATATGTATTTTCTCAGCTTTTGATTTTTAATCTATTTTTGACTTTGTGTGTAAGATATGTCTCTTCTAGACAGCATCTTGAAGAATCCTGTTTTCTTATTCATTCTGCTACTTTCTGTCTCTTGACTCTGGTGCACTCAATCCACTGATGTTCAGTATAATTATTGATTATTATGAATTGATTGCAGTCATTTTTCTGTGTGTGTGTGTGTGTTTTTGCTGGTCCTGCTGTTTTTTGTTTGCCCCCGCCACACACACACACACACATTTTTGTGCTGAATTCATTTTGTTTGTGTATTTTCTTGTCAGTTTCTTCATTGCTGTTATTTTAATGTTTACAAAAATATTCATGGTTTTCCAATTTTAATTTGATGTGAAGGTGTATTAATTTTCTTTGAGGTTACCCTGCAATTTATTAGTTTCTTTCCCAGTATAAAACAGTTGGCTTTTATCTTGAAATCTACTTGACTTCCTCACCATTTGGAAGTTCTGTAACTATCCTTTTTTCTCTTTTTTTTTTTTCCGTATTTGCCGTTGTTGTAAATTGATGTCACTGATGCCCACTTTTCAGTCTTGTGGTTTTGTTTTACTTTGGATACTTCTATATCTGGATTGAATTTTTGGGTAGTGATGCCTTGTGTGTCAGTCTTGGGTTGCTGTCTGCTGTTGTCAGTTCTCAAAGGACTCCCTTTAGTATTTTTTATAAAATTGGCCTGGGTTTAAAAATTCCTTAAATTTGTTTATCTGAAAATTTGCTAATTTCATCATTGTATTCAAGGGGCAGTTTTACTGGGTATATAATTCTTGGTTGGCAATTGTTTTCTTTCAGAGTTTGATTATGT